ATGCCATATGCTACCAGTCTTCCAAATTTTGAGATCTCTGCAGTTGAAAAAATCGGGAAGATGAACTAAAAAAATAGGAATGGGAAAACTTGCCTTTTAGCCTATGGCCATTAAAGATCAGAACAGAAATCATCATGACTGCCTTATCTACCACTATTTATCCATGTAAGGCAGCTGGTTCCATTCCCTCCAAGGGTAGGAATGGGGCACAAATCGGCAGTATTTCCTAATCAACTGCAGCAGCAGCATTTTTTAGTTGGATTAACTTAGCATGCACACCTTTAATAGCCAGTGACTGCCTCCTTAAAAAATACAGCTGAGTGGGCACATAAACCAGTCCTATTTGCCAACTGTAGAGGGCTCCCACAAAGCTTGTGGGTGTGTGTAAATGAATTCCATGACTTTTTTTTTTTCAGTAACTAAGAACAGAGAGGGGAAAAACAAACTCTCTTGTATACTGTACCTTGGCAGTGGTAAACTATGTGAGACATAGTTTTTATCCTTAAAATGCGAAAGTACTTTAAAACTGGCCAGTACCTCATTGAAGTTGACTGACAACTGATGAGAGGTTATAAAATACTCTGCCTCATGCAGACTCTGAGAAAGCCTCTAGCAGAAAGTATTTGAGAAATTCTTCTCTAACAAGAAAGTCCTGTAGGCCAAACTTCAGAGTCCCAACATTTGGATTCTGAAGTATCATGGAATTTCTACAATAGAAATGGTGTAGGATTTCAAATAAATAAGAAAAATCATAATATTATTCAATTTAAATATTTTCAATGAAATGTATGTATATAAAAACGACAAATCTATAGTTGTACATTGTTTACTACATATTGCTTTATTTTCCTTGTCTTACTTTTTTTAACACTCTCTCATTCCAGGATACTATTCCAATAACAAGTTTTACTAGGCCCATTGTTAGATACGCTAATTAATTGTTTCAATGTTCTTCTCTTCAGTAATCACCGGAGAGGCTCTTAAAATTTGTATAAAAACAGAATAAAAGCAGCATGATCGGGTGAGAAGAGAGTGAATTGAGGACTGGATTCTCCTAAGTTATTTTTTACTTTTGTGACCTGGAAGAAGTCACTAATCTTTTTGGATCTCTGTTTCCTTGAGTGAAATTGAAAAGGATTGAATCAAGTGATCTCTAAACTCCCTTCAACCATCATTCTCTAAAATATTTAAGATCTCCCTGCAAAAATTAGCTACATCTCTCTCTCCAACCCTGCCACAGCTCTTTATGCCTGCAACAGATGGTAGGCAGTACACAAAAATGCTCAGAATTCAGACTAGCTGGCTGGCTCCAGGAAAATAGCTATAATAAACACTCATCTTTCAGACTATACAATTTTTTATCGTTGAAAGGGCTGCACTAAATTTTAACTTAGTAACACCTACAAGGAAAACAATATTTCCCAATCAACCTAACCAGGTAAAGAACATTTACAGAAAAAGACTTCACACAAAGAGATAAGCTGCTTTTAACATAATCAAATACTTTGGAAAGTAATTTACATATGACAGTTACTATTTTTTTTCTTTAAAGCAAGTCATTTTGTGGGAAGGTTTTTGATAACAAATTCAATTTCTTTAATAGACATGGGTTATTCAGATTTTCTATTTATGGCTATATCAGTTTTGGTACATTGTCTGTTTTCCAAAGAATTGGTCCATTTCATTCTGGTTGTTGAATGCAGTTGACTTAAAGTTATTCATCTGTTCTCTTATTTTTTTAATGTCTATAGCATATAGAAGACCAAACCTATTTCATTTTCAATATTGGTAATTTGTGTTTTATCTCTTCTTTTTCTTACTCAGTTTTGTTAGGAGCTTGCAAATTTCATTAGTATTTTCAAAGAATCAACTTTTGGCTTCGCTAGTTTGCTTTCTTGCTTCATTTATATTTCGTTCCTTTCAGTTCTTATCATTATGATGAATTTCACAGGCTCATTTAAAAAAAAACATTCTACAGTTGTAGGATACAGCCTTCTGTAAATGTCAATTAGGTCAAATTAGTTGATAGTTTGCTCCAACCTGCTATATCATATTTTTTCTTTTTACTAATTTTATTACCAAGTAAGTACTAAAAGAAGCATGTAAAAATTTTGAGCAATAAGTATGGTGTTGTCCATTTTATTCTTTAGTCCTGTCTATTTTTGCTTTATTTATGCTGAAGCGTTATTAGTACAGTATATTCAGTATATTTAGTATAAATGTTGATGCAGTTAAGTTTTAGTCTACAATTTTCATATTTGTTTTTATTTACTCCTGTCGGTCCTCTTTTCCTGTCCTCTTTGGGTTGAACAAATAGTAGTTCTTGTTACTTTTTATATTAGTGGTTGCTCTGGGAATTACAATCTGCATTATTAAGTTATATCAGACACTGCTTAGAATTAGTATCATTACACGTAAAATGAAAGAAACTGACAAGAGTATAACTCCATTTCTTTTGCAATTATCATTAGATATATATTTGCATCTCCCTAACTTAGAAGTTATATAATAACATTATAAATTTGTCTTAAATGGTTGATTTTAAAGAAAATTTTAAAATATATTTTATTTTCTATTAATCATCATGTATTTTTAAATTCAGTATTATTTCTTCTATATATTCAAATTTCTATCAGATGTCACTTCCTTTCAGAATGAAGAGCTTCCTTTAACATGTTAAAATTGGTTGTTAATAAATTCTCATTCTTTTAACTTAGCTGAAAATGTCTATTTTCAACCTTAATATTATTGGATACCTTCATTAACTATAGAATTATCAGTTAATATTATTTCTTTCATCACTTTACATACATAATTTCATTGTCTTCTGTTTTCATCATTTCTGATGAGAAGATATCTATCATTCCTAGAAATGTCACCCTCTGTAAAATGTGTATTTCTCCTTTCTAGCTATTCCCAAGTTTTGGGTTTGTTTTTTCTTGCCTTCAATTTTCAGCTCTTAGACTAAGATGTGCCTGCCCGTGGGATTTTGTTTTTTGCATTTATCTTGTTTATAATATGATGATCTTCCTGCATTTGTCAAGATTTTTTTGGCAAATTTGAAGACAATTCAGCCCTTATTTCTTCAGCTACTTTTTCTGTTTTTCTGCTTCTGAGACTCCAATTGACAGCTGGTAGGCCCCTTGATTTTAACTTGCAGATCACGCAGGCTCTGCTCATTTTTCTCAATTATTGTTTCTTCTCCTGATTAGACCCTATTGATCTATAAGGTTACTTATTTTTCTATTGTTTTCTCTAGTATGTTGTTGTTCAAACCATCCAATGAAATCGTCATATCAGGTATTACAGTTCTCAGTCTAGAATTTCCACTTGATTTCTTAAAATAGCTTCCTATTTCTGCACTGGGATACTCTGTTATTATGAACATCTTTTCCTTTAAATTCTTGAACACATATAATAGCTGCTTTAAAGTACTTGTCTACTAATTCCAATAACTGGGAATAATTTTTTTGATGTAAGTAAGATTTCCCTGTTTTTTAATATGTCTAGCATGTTATCTATTATATACGTAACACTGTACATTGTGGAGATTCTGCATTCTGTTCTTGTCCATGAAGAATTGTTGACTTTTTAAAAATATTCTAGGAGGTGACTAAATTACTGGTTTTATCATCTTAAAATTGTTGAACCTTGGTTTCATGCTTTTGTTATAATGAAGCAGTTTGTTTTGTTTTTAGTACTAAGTCAGTTTTCTTAGTCCTGGAACATAATCTTCACTTCTTAGGTGTTGGCCATCTAAGATTTCCATGGATAAAACTGCATGTTTACTAAGTCCCTGTCACTAAAATAGAATATTTGTTTACTGGATACTTAAATAACTATATTGCATGTTTCATGATCATACTTGGCCTAGATTTACCATGGAGTGCAATTCCACAATACCAACCTTAGAATTGAATGGATGTTAAAATTCACTTTTTCTCGAATGTTAGGAAATTAATATAGTGTGTATACTACACAGCATATAACACTCAAGCAGGGTCTGGGGCAGTATTCTCTTATCAAATACATTAACATTAATTAGTTAATATAATTAATATTCATATATATGCAAAACATGAATGTTTTGTTTCTCACTTCTTCACATGAAGTGAGAAATGTAAAAACTTATTGATCATAATTACCTGTCACTTCAGGTCAGATTTCGTCACTAAGAGTTTTGGCACAGCCTTCGTTTTGGCATCAACTTTTATTTCCTGGAACTTTCTGGATTTTGGAATTGTGGATGAGAGATTATGGCCCTTATATAGCGACACATTTTCAGTAATTGAGAGGAGGACTAAAGAAGGATGTCAAGCAAGAACAGGTAGCCCGAATAGTATATGTAAATGAAGCTGTATTTACTAAGGAGTTAGATCTCCAAACTAGTCGAGTTGACAAATTTCAGTCTCTGAGGTTTACTCTTTCACTGTTTTCATCCCTAGGCCTGGCACAGTTCCTTGCACCTAGTCAGCACTCAAATATAATTTGATAAATTAATGAATTAATACATTACCAGTGAATAAGAAAACACCAGTGTGAAACCTGTCCCTTATAGAAACTTCACTGTTAAGTTTCTACAGTTCCTTCTCTCCATCTTACTCTCCAATCTATCTCACAAAGTCTGTCATTTTTCACAAAAGTTACTTGACAAATTTGCTGTATAAAGTAGCAAAGCAATCTTAAGAATCCCTCATAGAGTCACTGAAATGTGTTCTACCGTAGTGAATCACAGTACCCAGTTTCTAATAAATGAAACACCATGGAGTATTGTTCACACTGCTTTTCCTACATGTGACAGAGTGAACCTTAGCCTAATCTATTGAATGATCACTAATACACTTGAAAAAAGGAAAGTTGTTATTTCTCCTTGGCTTAGCCAACTTAGAACATTGAAAAAGATACATTACAAACCTACACTTCTTTAATCTTAGAGACCAGATAAGACCGAAAACATGCACATTAATATATACTTTACTGCTATAGTAGAAAAAATGTACCTGGGTTCTGGCTTTGGTTCGGGCTTGAAAGCTAGTTTCTCTCTTTTCATAAAGCCTTTCTAGAATAAGAGAAAGAAGAGTTGACATAAGTAGAAAAAATATCATAGTCTACAAAAATTTAATCTTATTGATGTTCTGTTACATTATCAAAGGGAGAAGGAACCAGTCCATGATAATATATATTATCAGCCTAGACAACAATATAAATTTGTAAGTATACTCAGAGGACAATGATTCCTGAACTGCCTCCAGCAACTTCTGTTACCCAAGAACACAATTCCTCCTGATCATCTCAGTGGGCCAATACACATGCAATCTAATTCAAATGAGAATTTATTTCTTTACTTATTTGTTTACTGTCTTATACAAAAGATTTAAGGTAGCTTACCAAATATACAGTACATGAAAAAAAGAAAATCAAGCTCAAGGGAAAATAGGTATAGAACAATAATGTCAAACACTTTCTGATATTTCTTGACGTGTCACACAGATTTGACTGTCAAATTTTTAGCTATAAAAGTGTTATTGATTGAACTGTGTTCCTCCAAAATGCATATGTTGAAGCCCTAATCAGTAGTATGACTATGTTTGGAGATAAAGCCTTTCAGGAAGTAATTAAGGTTAAATGAGGCCATAAAGGTGAGGCCCTCTCCAATCATATTGGTGGCCTTGTTAGAAGAGGAAGAGATACCAGGGCCACACATGCACAGCGGAAAGGCCACCTGAACACACAGAAACCAGCAAGCATCTTGGTAAGCCAAGGAGAGAGTCCTCTGGAGAAACCAACTTTCCCGGCATCTTGATCTTGAACTTCGAGCCTCGGAAACTCTGAAAAAATTAATTGCTGTTGTGTATGCCACATGATCTGTGGTAGTTAACGATGGAAGGCCTGGCAAATAACGCACAGGCAACAAAGAAAACATAGTAGTTCTAACATTTACAATGTCTGTAACTGAAGCAAAAATGGGTTCTTCAAAAGAAGCCTGGTGTAAAATAATGGTCACCTTCAAGAGCACCTCTTCAACAATCACACCAGAGTGTCTAATGTGGACTTTTTATGCAGTCCTTCTGTATCAGTCAACAGTAGAAAAACTCAGGAATATAATCCTGCAAGACTTCAGAATCACTTGGCCATTGCATTTCTGGTTATTTAGCATAATCTAAAGGTTAAACTGATACCTAGAGGCATTAAAGCACTGCATACCCACTTTGTAATCTGTCATGACAATTAGTTTGCACAGAACAGCTTTTGAGAAAATGGTCTTGAATAAGAGGAATTTGAGGTGATCTTGATAACACAGTGAAAGGTTAATGCATTTTAGGTTGTTGGTGCTGCCCTCTCCCTCAAGAGTCTATCAGCAGTCAGGGACAGAAAGTGTCTTGGCTCTTGAGATGAGGTGTGCTCATGTGCCACAACAGAAATGCCTACTTTAGTTCTGCTTTTTAAGTTTCAAAGATACTTTTAACCACTATTTGAGAACTGAAGTCAAAGAAGGCTCTGATATAAAATCCTAGGACGTATAATGGATTGACATAAATATGAAATGTGAAAGAAAATTGTGTTCAGATTGCAAAAATACTCAGTATTGAGACATAGAGTGATTGTCTTAAATATTTTACACAAATCATAAATTCTTCATTCTGTCTGATACTGCACTCTCAAATGCCATCTAACTTATTTATGTTAATTTGTATTTCATGCCATTTATTTTTAAGACCAAAGAGTAACTTTTCTTCTATAGTTATGTTAGAATGCAATAATAACCTTGAGAATTAGTTTACATAATCTCTCAAGTATATGTTATTTTTAGAGTTCCCTGATCATGTTTTTTAAAGTAAACAATGATTCTAAAGAATAAAATTGTATGCTTTAATATTTATGTGCAACATGTAGACAATAATAAAACATGGAGCAGGACCTATATTTTAATTATTGCTCTCAAGATATTTCATGATATGTATTCATGGCTACAAAATTAACTTTTAACCTATATATTTCATACATTTGCACACAGCAATGTGCTTGGCCTGGCACACACTGCCCTATGTGATACTACTATTTATACTTGCCAGCTAATTTTTTAACTGCTTCCTTCTTGGCCAGACTAACAGTACTAGCAGGCTATTCATCATGAAGGGCGGGTGTCACCTATGAAGGCTGCTAACTAAGTAAAAGAAACTCAGACAAACATCCAGGGGGATTTTTCTTACCAAGATGTTCTCTGATTTTTGCCAGTTTCTCTCTCACGACTGCATTGTCTTCACAACCTCCATTGTGTTTCTTTCTCCCTACCTGATTTAGGAACTTTTTCCTTCTCTCCTCTTTGCAAAGTCAACAGCAGTCCTGCATCTTGGGTCTATCTCATTCTTAGCTTCCTACACACTTACATATTCGAATCTCAAGTGCATTCTGTTTTAATGTCTCAACTCCATTCTCCCTCAAAAATCTCAACTGCAACAAGCTTCTCTCTTTTTAAATGTCTTTATTGCTTTTAGAGGGACAGAGACATCAATTTGCTGTCCCACTTATTTATGCATTCATTGGTTGATTCTTGTATGTACCCTGACCGAGGATCAAACCCACAACCTTGGTATATAGGAATGATGTTCCAACCAACTGAGCTACCCGGCCACCTGCTTCTTTAAACTTCTTAAAGATCCTCGTCTCTCCATGACAATGCATTTAAAGTGACACATTCTAAATACCTGAATAAACGTATAAATCATTTATCAGACCTTGTGTCAAAATTTTCAAATTTTTAACAACCCATGTGGATTTACTCCAAAGTACTTTTCAGACTCCTTTCCTCAATATCTTTTCTCAAATTCCACAACTTAACTGGTACCAGGCTAGTTCTGATAATTTACACAATATTATCACACCTCAAGTTTTGTTTTACAAGCAGCTGTCTAATCCATCCATTCCTCTCTTCTTTCCAAATCTCATAGAATTATTTTTTCCTTTTGATAATTCTGCTAATGTCTTTCACCATTGAATGATTAATTTTTTGCATTGATAAATGATAGATGAACTATTTGAGAAAGCCTTGCATTTTCTTCTAAATGCTACATATTTTCTATACTGTATTCTTGGTGTGAAATTTTGGAATATGTTTGTTATAAAAAAGTAACCTACAAATGGCATATTACACCCCCAGCACTTACAGTCAAAATCAGAGGGTATTTTCTAAGTAGCAAAGAATTCCATAATTTTTAACAGGTTTGTGACCCTACTAGAAACATATATAAACACACCAAGTAAGATGAAAGGTTTATTTTTAAATAGGTCATTGTAAAGAGAAAATTATTAGCATATACACATAAAAATACAAATTTCACATTAAAACATGAGAAATAAACTGAAATGCTTTTCCTGCCAGGCTTGAGCACCTCCTGTGAAAGAGCAGTGAACTGCTGCCCTCCTCACACTGCTGCTGATTCTTGTAGAAGAAATGGTTTAAATGGGAAACTGTTGATGACCTGCAGGCATGCAAAACCAGGGGGCACCAAACACCCCAGTGTGGGATTTTTCATGGGTCAGGATCTTTGCACTGAATTCTGGAGCTCCCAAAAGCACACACAAACCACAGGAGGATTTTCGAGACTTAGAGCCACTTCTCAGAAGTTATAGCAGGCCAGGGGAACCCGTGACTTGCCCCAATCTCACTCACAGAGCCAGAGAAGATTCCATTTTGAAAGGTGGTCTCTAGTGTGGTGTTTCCTTTACATTTCCTAAGAGAAGTGGGGGATCCCAAAGTTACTGTGGGTCACCCTGTAATGGCTGTGGCCTCAATAAACCATTCAACTTTCAGATGAGGGGAGACTGAACAAGGCAACCCAACATACCACAGGTTGTTCATTTATGTCACTAGACAAAGTTTCTTTACTCCGAGAGAAATCACAACTAAGAATTCCCTCTTTGATATGTAGGAATTTAAGCATAACAGAGGAGACAATCGAAAGTCTGATGAGAAGGGAGCTGGAGAGAGAAATTTCCACCCCAGTGTAAGTTCCTCTGAGGGTTGAAACCCATTTGTAAAAGATGTAAGAAGGCTGCTGTTTCCAGAAATATGATCATAGTGACAAAATCACAGCACAATACCATAGTAAGTGCTAAAGACAAAAGTGGAAGATATTTTACATGCATGGCTGAGCTGATGGGAAAGTAACAGAATTCTTCCCAGGACAAAGACAACAACAAGAAATTTTGAATTCACTATTGCATGAGCCTGGGAGACTGCCTTTGCCTTGGGGATTGCATGGTAATTTCAGACAACCTAAAGCCTGGGTTTTAATGAACTACATGCCCTCAAGTTTGGAGACAAACACTGGCACTCAGAATGTGAAGGAACATCAGAGTTGAGAACACCTCAATAAAAGCTGTGTACTGGAAGTACAGTAGAGTCCTTAGAGTATAAGCCAGAATTTAAAATTTTCCCTGGACAGAGAAAGAAATTAGGAAAAAGAAAAAGAGATACCATGAAACCCTAGTAAGTTTGATAACAACACTTCATTCACATGGATCTAGAGACTCAATTTGTACTACCTGGAATGCCCGACAACCACCTCCCCAAAAGAAAGGCAAAAAATTAAAATAAAGTGGTTCCCGGTTAGTAGTGCCATAGAGTACTGGATAAAAGCAATTACCCATCATTTTCAGAAGAACGCAGTTTAAACCCAAAGAATCCACAATAAAATACCAAGAAAAATGAGATCACAATCAGAAAAGTCATTAAACATAACAAAATGAGCAGTCGAGGATTCAAAAGAAGTAACACACTAAACATTCAGAACCTCAAAGACAAATGACTGTAATTATACAGAATCTAAAATAAGACCTGCAAAGTGTAAAACAAGATCTGCAGAATGTAATGTAATGTAATGTAATGTTTCTATATGTTTAGAGAAATATATGAAAGGAACCAAAATTGTCAAGATTGACTCAACTGACTTGGAAAGTAACAACTAGACATTCTAAAATAAAATATAGATAACTAAAACTGGAAACTCGATGAGTAGCAAATGAAAAGACAGACATAGAAATGAAAAGAAACATAAT